GCACCACGCATGCCGTAAGATTCTACCACCAACAGCAATCGACGCGCCAGGAAGAAAGAATACCACCCATCGAATCTGACAATTACAGAATATACGGACGGTGGTAGCATTAGTATACCTTTAGTGGTAGTACCATCGGCATTGCTGGTGGACGGACGTATTTGGTTCGTCAGAATCTATTCCCTGCGGCCCAATTGCAGATAACCAAATACCTTAATCCGACGCGATTTGACGTTGGCGCGGCGTACCATTAGAATCCTCCCCCCTGCATGTGCGGCGGTATCATACGGTCAACAAGGGGAGAGAGAGGTGGCCGAGGCGTCGTCATTAGCCTAAGTGGCGCCTATATATAATTAGCTGCATTACATCTCTGCCACTACCATCAAATTAGCCATGGTTTATCCGTTCTCACCTTGGATGCCAAGATGGAACAGAAATTCCTTTAGGCTTGCTAACTTGTGGCTTTCATTTTGATGAACTAATCTTAGGCAAGCTTGGCAAAAATATGTGGCAAAGTGTGACAATGCTAAGCCTAGAACCAAACAGCCCCTCAGTCTGAAATGGTTCTGCGGCTGCACGTGACCTCTGATGCTCTTCTGGGGAATAACAGTGCCGATTAGTCCTTAGCCTGAACGCCTAGCGCATCTTTTTTGTACCATTTGGGAGTTTTTTTATGCCCAGGTTTCAGCCAAGTCCCTGCGCGTTCGTCTATTCCAGTATGCAACCTTCTTACCCATAAACTCTGTATATGGCACAAGTTCATTCAGGAAAGGGCAATTAGGAATGTCTTTGCTGAGTGCTCTTGACTTCCTTTGTGTTGTCATATGTTTTCTGGCCCAGCAAGTAGTACGAGCACCATTGTCTCAGAAAGGCATAAAATTCCCGGTGAGAAAAAGATAGCCACGTGATATCACCTACTCCTACTACAGAAACAGCGGTGGACACAAAGATGTTTGGGGCTGTACTAACTACTAAGTGGTAGGAATCATTGCAACTAAAGCTGGGAGCTTAGTGCGACAGCACAGTAGAGCCCTGCAATGTGCTGTTAAATGTGTGTAATCGACATCCAACCCTTTTCTGGACTTGCAAGCGGTACCCATCAGGAATGTGTCACTAGAGACGCACATGCCACGTTTTCTTGTCAGGTTTGCTTATGGATTTACTAGTAGCAGTAGAAACACTAACGACGACGACCGGTGATTAACCTAGGAAATTGGCATTAACATTGGATCCGTGCTTAATTTGCAGACGGAGGAACATCGAGGCGAGTAAACATTGCTAGCATAGGACATTGTCGGGCTGTTTCATTTCATAAAGAAGTATACTGAAACATCGAAGCGAATAAATTATTGGAGTTTAAAGGACCCCAAGAGGTGTAGCGGGACTCTGGCCCTCGGGGTCCGCTAGAGTTGCGTTAGATTTTCATCGCGATCTGATCCATTTTTGTTTCGAGCCAGCTCTCTATTAGAAAACATACTTCCAAATGCGCAGACAACAATTGAAACAGTGGGTAACCGATTTTGTTTCTTCAATTCAGGCGAAGTATTATTACTATGTGTATTCAAGTAGTAGTAACCCGATTTTGGGCCAGTTTTCAATTTCTATAGAAACCGATTTGTTTCTTCAATTCAGGCGAAGTATTATTACTATGTGTATTCAAGTAGTAGTAACCGATTTTGAGCCAGTTTTCAATCAGAAAACGCATTTCCAAATGTGCGGGCAACAATCGAACCATTGCATACAACATGTTTATGTAGCCTCAGTTTCCACAGAAGCCGATTCGTTTCTTAAATTCAGCTGAAATATTATTATCAATACTAGTATACTCCTACAATCATCTCACTGTGTGTATTCATGTACCGCGCGCTTAGTTTACGACCCTTGTTTTCTGGGAGGCCAGCACCCCTTGATGAATGCATATTGTGCACCAACAGCACCTGCTCATGAATGTGGCACTACTAGCAAGGCTCCAAGGCCAAGGCCATTGCTATCGGCCAAAAGCCGGTTCCTTTATTAGGTTTCCCAGCCATGTGTGAGCCCGGACCGGAAGCCCTCATTATGTTTGTGTCGTTGCCCTTGTTTCGCGTATGTAGGAGCGCCGTTGTTGTTCAGGAATTTATTAAGATTATATAGTATACGCGGGCGATTAGATTATGGCGCCGGAGCTGGCGACGATCGCATTGCATGTCGACGCCACTGATGGGAGCGCACGCACCTAGAATAGTAAATACTGAATAGTCTTAAATGGAGCCCGTCCCGATCGATCGGGAGCCGAGGGCGATCTGATTCGCGCCCGTGTGTGTGTGTGTGGTTTGCGTGTGTTGGCCGGCTCGGGCTGGTGGTGACTTGGTGACGGAGATCACTTGGATTTGAGGAGAGCGAGCGAGGGACGTGTCGTCGCGGCTTGTCCACGGCTGCTAAGCCAGGAAGGTGCCGCCCCCTCGACGCGACATCCACGACGAATCATCATTTCCGAGTGTTCTGGGCGAGACCGTGTGGATACGTGAAATGCGACGGATTTGTTAAGCATGGGATGCGAGGATAGCCAAGACGGCGTCGGGGCTGCCTCGCCCTGGTCTGTCCGCTCATGTCGCCACGACTGCTGGTGCCACTCTCGGCTAGTGTTTGGTTCTATTGCAAACGTATACGCACCTTTTTTTCCAGTTGTGTTGTTTTGGCGCCATTTGTTTTGAGCCGCAGGTCCGGCCCGTCTGCTGCTGTGGCGTGGCGAGCGGCTCGCTGCTAGCGAGGGGCGGCTTTTGGGTTTTGGCACAAGCGCGCCCGGCACGGCTGCGCGAGGCTCACGCGCCTGCTTCGCTTTGGTCAGGCGTGTCGGCACGTGTGCGCGCGTGTAGGGCTCCCCCCTCCCTACGCTGAGTTCAACGGTTCAATGCGCGCTGACGTCCCCTCAAAAAAAAAAAAATTGCGCGCTGACGAGAGGCGTACCCGTACCCGGTAGATGACGGAGACGAGAGAGCTCGCCGTATCCTGCCCAGTTTTTTGCTATTTATCTGTTCCTAGATATGGTCTGTCAGGATTAACCACTCTCTTCTTTTACACGGACTAGAAGAACACCCGTACGTTGCAACGGGGCCACATTAAGTTTAAAAGTTTAATATTAATATTCTCATATATATCAAGTGACATTGACGACATTTTTTACCATCAATTCCTCACACACACTCTCTGCCTCCCTCTTCCTCACTCTCTCCCCCTCCCCCTCTCTCTCTCTAACACACATACATATCCATCTTATTGGGTACGGGACCATAATCCATCTATTTCACACACACACACGCTAGTACATAACAATATGGATTATGTGTATTATATTTGCCACCACAACTGAGGGAATTAATTTCATGTAAATCGGCCAACCACAGCTCCAAGAATACGCGGAGAAGGTGGCTCGGGTCGGCGTCGGCGCCGTCCGGCACGGGCCACGGGCCCGCTTCCAAGCGCGTCTGCGCGTCGGCCCCCCACGCCGTGTCCTTCAAGTGCCACTTCCACCGCACCAACTCCCAGGGTCACGGCCATGGCCAGGGCCAGGGAAGCCGCCCTTCTTTGCCCCCTTCATCGGCCGCGGCCAACACGGTGTCGCGGCACCCGGCCTCGCCGTCCTCGTCCTCCAGCACCGTCGCGACCTAGTGACGCAGCCCAAGCATCGGCCTCGAGAATCAAGAACGCTCGGCAACATAGAGGGAAGGAAAGGTCATATACATGTCATAAGAAAGGGAGTTTATTTACTGCTCCCTCGATGTATTGTTTCCTTTGTTTGGAGATTGATTACCATCCGTGAGTTAAGGTAAGGTTTACGTGATTGAGCGATTTTTTGAAAATCAATTATTTGTTTTCTAATTAATGTAATTGAGTGATTTAAGATAAGGTTAATTAATTTAGATTTGATCTTGAGAGATTGTTCGTGATTGATTCTACATTACTAAATAATTTACGCCAGTATGGAAAGTTCTGATCTGTTTAGATTTCTTTCGTTGTGTGAGAGGGTGACGCGAAAATAAACCGATGAAGTGAGGGGAGGGAACGAAAAAAATCTACGAAAAAAAACCAGCGAAGATGGAGGAGGTACCAAAAAAAACCATGAAAGGTGGGAGGAGACTACCAACTGCTTCATTAGGAGTAGAAATTATTAGAGATTAGAGATTATTTGTTTCCTGAAAATCTATTATTTGTTTACTAAAGCAAATTGCATTAATGAGAGAGATTTCGTAGATTTGGCTAAGGTAGGAAAGAATATATTATTTGTTTGCTAAAGCAAATTGCATTAACGGGAGAGATCCGTTGATTTGGCTAAGGTAGGAAAGAATATATTATTTGTTTGCTAAAGCAAATTGCATTAATAGAAGAGATCCGTTAATTTGGCTAAGGTAGGAAAGAATCTATTATTTGTTTCCCAAAGAAAATTGCATTAATGAGAGAGATTTGTTGATTTGGCTAAGGTAGGTGGTTTTTGCGGTTCGTGGCGGCTTAGTGTGAGGTGGGACGAGGTACCAGAAAAAACCATGGGAGGTGGGACAAAAAAAAACTTGAGAGGTGGGAGTTGTCCCTGGTTAACCTACGAAATTTCGTAGATTTTTTTAGGACGAAAAAACCCGTGAGAGGTGGGACTAAAAAAACCCTGAAAGCGAGACTACCAACTGCTCCCTTAGGAGTAGAGATTGATTTGTGCCTGCTGTCATTTGCTTCTGGCTGGAAAATGAATTCTTACCGTCTAACTAAAAAAATGCTGCTGTGCTGCCTAGAGTACCTATCGCTCATGTCATCGGTAGGAGCACGGCCGCACAGTAATACGCGTCGGCCTGCACGCTCCGCTTTTACTTTACAGTATCCCCCAAATATTCCTGCTGAAATTTATCCCACTCCTCCCTCCCACCTTCGTCCCCCCCTCCCTCTGCAGAGACAGACAGCACAGCCGAGCCAAGCCAGGAGCAGCCAGCCACAAAGAGGGGAGGGGAAGCTGGAGGGGAGGCGCTGAGCGAGCAATGGAGGCGCATATGGCGGCGGCCCGACCGCCGACGCACCACCACAACCACAGCCACAGCCAGCAGCAGCAGCAGAAGGCGGCCAACCTGGCGCGCACCTTCACCAAGCTGCTCCGCCGGAAGCGCTCCGACTCCGCGGCGGCGAAGGCGGGGGCCGGGGCCGGGGCCAAGGAGGCGGATGCGCCGCCGTCCGTCACCGGGGACGACTACGACAGCTCCATGGACGCCACCACCCCCACCACCGCCACCACGGCCACCATGCCGTCGCTCAGCAAGCTCAAGCTCTCCGGGAACCTCGCCGCGGCCTACTCCCTCGACGCCTTCTTCCGCAACGCCGCCGAGAAGAAGGCCGCCGGGGCGCCCCAGCAGCAGCCCTCGCCGCCGGCCGCCGCGACGGTTGCCGCCGCGGACTCCCTCCTCGCCAATCTGTTCGCGGGCGTCTCGGCCGTCAAGGCGGCCTACGCGCAGCTGCAGCTCGCGCAGTTCCCCTACGACGCGGAGGCCATTCAGTCCGCGGACGCCGCCGTGGTCGCGGAGCTCACCAGGTTGTCCGACACCAAGCGGAGGTTCCTCAAGGATCCCGCCGGCGCGGCCAGGGACGCCGCGGCGGCGGGCAACACCGCCCTCTCCGCGCATGCCGAGGAGCAGCGGCATCTGCTCAAGACGTACCAGATCACGGCGCGCAAGCTGGAGGCGGAGCTCCGTGCCAAGGATGCGGAGCTCGACCGCGCCAAGGGCTCCCTCGATGCGGAGCTCCGGGCGGAGCGCGCCATGGAGGTGCGCCTGCATCCGGGCCGCACCCTCGCGTCGCTGGACGAGCTCCACGTCTCCGGCCTCAACCCAACCCACTTCCTCACCGCCCTGCGGCACGCCGTGAAGTCGATCCGCTCCTTCTCCAAGTCAATGCTCAGCTCGATGCAGGCAGCTGGGTGGGATCTGACCGCGGCGGCCGCCGCCGTCCACCCAGGCGTCCCGTTGCGACGGGCCGGGGACGCCAAGTTCGTCTTCGAATCCTACGTCGCCATGAAGATGTTCGCCAATTTCCACCGGAGGGACTTCAATTTCAGCTTCTTGGACGAGCGGGAGTTCTACGAGCGGCGCCGCTTCTTCGAGGAGTTCACGGAGCTCAAGGCGGCGCCGGCCAGCGTCTTCCTCGACGTGCGGAACACCCGGTGGAGCGGATTCGGCAAGTTCTTGCGCGCCAAGTACCTATCGCTGGTGCACGCCAGGATGGAGACGGCCTTCTTCGGCAGGCAGGAGCAGCGCGGCATCGTGAGCGCCGGGCCCGGGTTCCCGGAGAGCTCGTGGTTCGCCGAGTTCGCGGAGATGGCGCGCCGCGTGTGGCTGCTGCATTGCCTCTTCTACGCGTTCGACGGCGGCGACGAGGAGGACGGCACGTCCATCTTCCAGGTCCGGACCGGCGCGCGGTTCGCGGAGGTGTACATGGAGAGCGTCAACGACGGGCGCACGGAGGACGCGTTCTGCACCGCCGCCGAGGACCGCACCGTCGGGTTCACCGTAGTACCTGGGTTTAGAGTCGGCCGTACGGTGATCCAATGCCGCGTGTACCTGGCGCGGCCGGGACGGCGGCCGTGATCAGCAAATTAGAACCGCCCTGTTTGGGGCGCCCGGCGGACGACGATTGGGGAGGAAAATTTCCATTTTGGGGCGGCCGTCGAGGTCTCTCGCCGGTCGCCGGCTGGGGTGGCGATCATGGTGGTGGCGGGGGTTATGTATCTATTAAGGGATGTAGCGATGTGATCATAATATAAGTGACATTTCAGTTCGGATCCATGATGCGGTGCTCTTGCTGTCTTGTTGTCTTGCAGTCTGCTAATTTTCACGGTATGCTTGCTCAAGGATTGTCTGATGGTAGCACCGAATTTCAGATGATTCCAACTGAAAATTTCAGATGATTTCTCTAGCGTTCCAGTTCATGAGCATTTTCTGTCTGATGGTAGCACCAAATTTGTGATCTGATCAAGTTCATACGCAGATTCCAGCTGCACGTTCCTCTGGTGAACATGGTCTGAATTCTTGAATGGTGTTTTTGTTCCCGGGAATCCCACGGCCAGTAACAATAATAAACTTGTTTTGGTTGTTTGTTGACGTGGCCTTGGTGGTACGTACGTTGGAACTTGTGGCTTGCTGTTTTGCAGTTGGTTGGATCCCCTTGGTGGTTTGTGATCGAGCGCTAAAAAGTATGCGATCATAAGCGTATGCCGCCGACTAGTTAATAATCTTGCTGCTGGCCTGTTTGTTACGAGAGCAAGACAAAGGCTCTCCCTTTGCTTACGCACATGGCAATACGGTTGGTTCTATACTTGTATACTCCATTCTACGATTCTGTTTTTCTTGGTGCAAGATCTCAAGAAAGGCGGCTACTTATCGTTTTGATTTCGTGTGAAGGAAAAGGAAGATACTTGTATATTTCTTCCTTTCCAGCTGCCATTTTGCCTCTCGCTTTTGTGGTATATATATTGGGACAATTATGGCCTGTGTGAAGTGCATTTTGTTATCGGGCGGAAATACAGCTGAGTGGCACTAACCAGCTGCAAAGATGCGGAAAGAATTGCATTCCAAGTCTAGGAGTAGGGCTTTTTGTTCCATCGCCGTTGTCCACCTTTGAGCTGCGGAGCTGATTACCTTTTCCCCCCCTCCTTCCCTCTCCTTTCTGGGGATATCCTAACTGTCGTTGCGATCTCGCCATCTTTCTGTCGTTCGGAACAAGGCCCAGGCCAAGCTGGATTGTTGTTCTCTCGGCCCAGTAACCCATGGATATAATAACTAACTGTGGGCCTGACAAGCCCGTCTGGACTTGGGCCGTAAAGCTTGTACTTTTTTTTCAATTTGCAAGTGCAATTTTGCTTGTAACGACAATTCTTCCGTCCTCCTTCCTACCAATGCAAAAGCTCTTAACAAACACTAG